ACAAAATGGAGTGGCGGAGCGGATGAACAGAACTCTGTTGGAAAGAACAAGAGCTATGTTGGCTACTGCAAATCTGGAAAAAGTCTTTTGGGCGGAAGCAGTAAAAACCACCTGTTATGTGGTGAATCGATCTCCATCAACTGCAATACAATTAAAGACGCCGATGGAGATGTGGACTGGCAAGCCAGCTGATTATTCTAACCTCCATATATTTGGATGTCCAGTGTACGTAATGTACAATGCCCAAGAAATTACAAAGCTGGATTCAAAATCCAGAAAATGCATATTCTTGGGGTATGCTGATGGAGTAAAGGGGTATCACTTGTGGGATCCCACTACCTATAAGGTTATCATCAGCATAGATGTTATCTTTGTAGAAAATCAACTACAAAGTGGTGAAAAAGAAAGCAGTTCGAGGAAGGACTCAGAGACTGTAGCTGTTCAGGTAGAAGATAATCCGAATTCTTCTGAAGCGACACCGGAGCATGATGTACAAGAACCAGTCGAGGCCGAGGCTCCAGAAGTTCGAAGGTCAACTCGTGAGAGAAGACCACCGACTTGGCACTCGGAGTATATTACGGAGAGTAATGTTGCATACTGTCTTCTAACAGAAGATGGAGAGCCATCAACTTTTCATGAAGCTATAAATGGCACAGATGCATCTTTGTGGATGGCAGCAATGCAGGAAGAAATTGAAGCTCTCCATAAGAACAAGACTTGGGAACTTGTGTCACTGCCACAAGGAAGAAAGACCATTGGAAACAAATGGGTCTACAAGATCAAGCGAAATGGCGATGATCAAGTGGAGCGGTATCGTGCTAGATTGGTGGTAAAAGGATATGCTCAGAAAGAAGGTATTGATTTTAATAAAATATTTTCTCCTGTAGTTCGACTAACAACAGTCCGAATTGTCCTGGCTATGAGCGCTATATTTGACTTACATATAGAGCAGCTAGATGTGAAAACAGCATTTCTTCATGGAGATCTTGAAGAAGAAATTTACATGCTCCAACCAGAAGGTTTTGAAGAAAAAGGAAAAGAGAACTTGGTTTGCAGATTGAACAAATCTCTGTACGGTCTAAAGCAGGCGCCGAGGTGTTGGTACAAGAGATTTGATTCATTCATCATGAGCCTTGGATACAACAGACTTAATTCAGACCCTTGTGCATATTTCAAGAGGTTTGGTGAAAATAACTTTGTTATCTTATTGTTGTATGTTGACGACATGTTGGTTGCAGGCCCCAACAAAGATCGTATCCAAGAATTAAAGGCTCAGTTGGCTAGGGAATTTGAAATGAAGGATTTAGGATCTGCAAACAAGATTCTAGGGATGCAAATTTACCGAGACAGAATTAATAGGAAGATTTAGCTTTCTCAGAAGAACTATTTGAAGAAAATCTTGCGACGCTTTAACATGCAAGATTGTAAGTCAATTTCTACCCCACTTCCTGTTAATTTCAAGTTATCCTCCAGTATGAGTCCTAGCAGTGAAGAAGAGAGGATGGAGATGTCTCGAGTACCGTATGCATCAGCAGTGGGAAGCTTAATGTTCGCGATGATTTGTACAAGACCAGACATTGCACAAGCAGTGGGAGTGGTTAGTCGATACATGGCGAATCCTGGTAAAGAGCATTGGAATGCTGTAAAGAGGGTTCTAAGATACATTCAAGGAACCTCAAATGTTGCATTATGTTATGGGGGATCTGATTTTATTGTCAGTGGATATGTTGATTCTGATTATGCAGGTGATCGTGATAATAGCAAATCCACCACAGGTTATGTGTTTGCACTTGCTGGCGGAGCTGTAAGCTGGGTTTCAAAACTGCAGTCAGTTGTGGCTACTTCAACAACAGAAGCAGAGTATGTAGCAGCTACACAAGCTAGTAAAGAAGCGATGTGGTTGAAGATGGTGCTGGAGGAACTCGGCTATGAACAAAAGAAGATTTCTCTATTTTGTGACAGTCAGAGTGCTTTGCATTTGGCAAGAAATCCAGCCTTTCATTCAAAGACCAAGCACATTCGAGTTCAGTATCACTTCGTTCGTGAGAAAGTGGAAGAAGGAACAGTGGATATGCAGAAAATTCACACCAAAGACAACCTAGCAGATTTTTTGACCAAAGCAGTCAGTACTGACAAATTTATTTGGTGTCGATCCTCTTGTGGTCTGATGGAGACGTAAGCAACATGAAGATGGCAAGATAGAAAGAATGGTGTGAAGATATGATTGATGCTCAATCAAATCTTCAAGTGGGAGATTGTCAGGTGCCTAATATTCCAAACCCACCGAAAGTGCACAGCCACATATGTTGAAAATTTGAGAAGAAAACAAAAGAGCGGACCCCACAGCTACAGTAAAATATTAATATTTTATTGTGCATAGTATTTTTCTAAAAACTATAAATAGGGCTCCAAATCCTTAAGGAAATCTCATCCCAGAAACTTCTTCTTATATAGAAGAGTGTGAGAGAAAAAAATAGAGAGAGTATCTCCTTAGAAAGAGAGATTGTAACTCCAGAGTTTTCTCCTCATAGTGAATTCTTCTATCCTTGCCCGTGGACGTAGGCAATCAAGTGCCGAACCACGTAAATCTGTGTGTCCAACATTTTATCTCTACTTTTACTTTTCTATTGCTGCGATCCTGCTCTATTGGGCCCCGGGTTTGTCCCAACAGTATAAACTAGAACTATTTAATCTATGTGATTTTTAATCTCCATGACGTTTCGATGCATAGATCAACTAAGTTAGTTACACCCTATGTGTGTGTGTGTATACGTATACATATACATATATATGTATATGTATATGTGTGTGTATGCATGAAATTAATCATCTAAATTCAACAATTACTGCCATTATATTTCGGTTTTCCTTTAATTGACTGATGTTCTAATTGCTCCATTAATTGTCCCATTTTACAACAAAAAAGCCATTAACCAGAAAATATATAATATATAATATATGGGTAGCGGTACAATATATAGAGTGTAACTATATAACTTTAGTTACACATACCTGTCAAAATACACATTTGCCCATCTGTATTGTAAATCAAAGCCATCCATTGTTATCCACATAAACATGTCATCAAATGTAAATGGATTAAAAATCATGTGATTTAGAATTTTATATCTTATAATCAAAGCAATTAAAATATAATCAATATCTGAGACTGTTACAGATCGTTCATTAGATGTATAAACTAGAACTATTTAATCCATGTGATTTTTAATCTCCATGACGTTTCGATGCATAGATCAACTAAGTTAGTTACACCCTATGTGTGTGTGTATACGTATACATATATATATGTATATGTATATGTGTGTGTATGCAGGAAATTAATCATCTAAATTTGTGGTCGATGGAATTTGAACTTGGGCTGCTCTGATACTATCTTAAAGTCCATGTGATCATTACACCAGAACTCCGAAGTTGTGATGAGGGTTAATGGTTATAGTTTTATCCAAATCCATATAGGGAGGTTGTCGCGACGAGCAACTAAGGTCTAGTTAGCGCACATGTGGTTGAAACATCATGTGATTTTGGTTTAGATTAGTCAGCCGAGTATCCATGATTTCTCATGAATGATTGAAGCATAATTTAATTGGAAGGATATGACTTATTCCGAACATCTCAAGTATTGGATCGATCAATCTCGGTCGAGTGATTTAACTAGAGTTTTTCCCCCTCAAGCATCAACTATAGGCACAAAAGGAGATCGGCAGATTAATTTACGCCGGAGAGAGATGAGTTTGGGTATAGATATTATTAATCCTTTGAAATACTAATTTATTTCAGGTCTTAAAAACTGTTATCTCCCTTGAAATGAGCAGCTCACTAAGTGTACTATCCATTTTGTATCCATTTGATGCATAAGCAAAAAAAAAAAAAATTAAAATTAAAAAAGAAGAAGAAGAGGTTAATTAGCTAGATAATCAATCGATTTTTCATTTTTAGACACTTCGAAGAAATCAGATCAACACATGAAAATGTAGGATTTTATCCTGATGTTCCTATCATCGTGCTTGAACAATAATCATTAATCTGCGTCAAAATCCTTCTCCAAAAGAGTCAACGTATGTCATTCTTGTAGATTATATTTTTGCTAGCGAAGGCCATCATCAATGTTACCACCAGTGGAAACTAAGCATGAAGCACATGGAAGAAGTTGCTTTCATTTATGAATCGATGCCTATTGGCTGATTTTTTTTTTTTTCCATTTATGCTTGCGTTATGGACGCCCATTTCTATCGGTCAGAATCTAGTGTTTACCCAATAACGCCCCCCAAAGGTAACTAGAAGGTACCTCTTGCAAACTCACCAAACAAAGAGGGGAAGGGAAAAAAAACACAACAAAGTATATTTCATAATCAATTCTAAATCGGTACAATCAATAATATTATTTCAATTGGAATATTATAAGATTACAATCTCCCATGATATATCAATAGAGCTTTGCTACAGGGACCCAAAATATGGGACCAATAAAAGGGACAAGTGAGATGTCCCCCTCCTATTGGATAATGAGTTGGCCATCATTAATGATGGCCAACTCATTATCCAATAGGAGGGGGACATCTCACTTGTCCCTTTTATTGGTCCCATATTTTGGGTCCCTGTAGCAAAGCT